GGAGGAGAGCAGGATGGAGTCAGAGGACCAAGTAGCAGGACTGGGGACAGAGTGAGGGCACGTAGCAAGGCAGAATCAGGTGGGAGAAGAGCCATGACAGATTTGGGGGAAGGAAGAAGACAGATCTAGGCAGGATGCAGCGCATACTGGGAAAGAGACAAGACGGAAAGGCAGGCCAGATCTGGGGGAAGCGACGGAACAGACCTGGATAGGGAAAGAGACAAGAGCAGGGAGGAGGAGCCAGTCTCAGGGAAGAGGAATGAGAAACACTGGACAGACTTGGGGAGATGGTGCAGAGGAGAGCTGGAGCGAGCATGAGACGGTCTCGGGAGAGAGTCTGGAGTTCGAGTTTGGAACTGGAAGCCTTGCAGCAGGAAGTGATGAGGCACAGTCCAGACAGAGGCCCCAGGGACCTGGAGGTCACAGCTGCAGCCGCAGAGCTGACCACGAGTGCCCCGGCAGCATGTGTGAGAGCATGCCTGCGTGTGGGTGGGTCTTCAAGTGTGAATGCATGCTCTCCTTGTCAGTCTGTGCATACGTGACACTGGGCCTGTGTGTGTGGAGGGTGTGTGTGTGTGTGTATGTGGGGGCATATCAGAGGGTGTGAACATACCTCTTGGTGTGAGGGCCGTGAGAAAGTGTCTTTCTGTGTGTGTGTTTCTCTGTGTGTGTGTATGTAAGCCTGCATATGTGTGTGTGTGGGTTCCATGTGAAGGAATAGGCTCATCTGTGTGGAAAATGTGCTTCTGCATATATATGGGAAGCGGTCTCTGTGTGTGTGCGCTGGCTGTGTATATGTTAAAGCAAGCCTCTGTGCACGTGTGTATGAGCATGTGTTGAATGTACCTGTGTGCATGTGAATCTGCCTGCACGAGAATGCATCTGCGTAAGCCTGACAGCGTGAGAGAGGGAGTGCCAGGCAGTGCATGCGGCTGTGGCTTTGTGATTGTGCACTTTTGTGTGTCCACTGTGAAAGTGTTCTGCAAGAGTTTGCAGTGGAAGGAGCACAGGTTGGGAGAAGGAGTTATTTTCATACAGGGCATCTGCCTGGACCTGAGTCTCTCCTCTTGAAGGCTAATCTTTCACCTGAGATTTATCTCATACCATTCATAAATTCCTTCATTCAGAAAACGTGTTTATCATGTACTATATGCTATGCTCCATGCTACATACAAAGATGACTAAAATACAGTCTGGGCTGACAAACAGCTACTTGTCTGGGTAGGAAGACAGGTAACTATGATACAGAGTATGATAATCACATTGGCCTCACTATTATCTTCTCTCCCTCCAAACCATGACTGCTTTCTCTCCACTAACTGATTAAATCAATAGGGGCATTCTTACCCCTTGACCTGATCTGGGCCCTGGAACCATCCTTGTACTCTCATCCTCTCCCCTCTTCGAATCAGGCCTGGGTTCACCTGACCTCCTTGTTCTGAATCCCTCTGACCTGTTATTCCATGCGGCACACATACAACCCCAGGATTCTAAAGCTGGGATGAAGGCAGAGAGGAGGCCTATCAGGGGATGGTGCTGGGAATTCATGAAAGAGAGTCTAGCAGATACCCAGCTCGGTGTTCCTTTCTTACATTGTTTCTAATTTTCACAAAACCCCACAGGATAGCTGTCACCATAGCCATTTTACAGATTACGGACATAATGCCCAGCCTGGGGCTCAAACCCAGTCCAAGCTCCAAAGCCCCTGTTCTTTTTATTGTTTCACACAGATGGGAGAGAGGAGGTGGGTCAGAAGTGTAAATAGGGGAGTCAGAAGCCCACCTCTCTTTGTGGAAAGGAAGTCCTACAGCACAGCAAATCTGTAAAGACCTGAGGACACATTTGTGTAGTCATAGGACTGACCAAGGTGCCTCAGGGTCCTGGGCTCACATGTGTTTGTGTGTGTTGTCTCAGTTGGCATGACCATGGATGTGTCTTTATCAGTGTGTTATGTGAGTATGATGGTGTGGAAGCATGAGATTGTGACCATTCATTTAGCACGGGCTGCCTGCTCTTGCTATAACTCTACTAAATGCTGGAGAATCAAGAGACTAACCAAGACCTGTCACTGCCCTCAAGGAGTCTTCAATCCAGTGCAGAGGGCAGACACATGAACAAATTGAGGCTGCTGTGCCATTTATTGTCAGTGTTTACCAAAAGTAATGGGAGCCCAGTAGTGTGTATAATAGGCTCTGGATGGGCAGGAGGGAGTGATTATGTGAAGAGGATTTTTAGAGGATATCTCATGACAAAACAGTAGCAAATACAAGGCAAGGAGTTAGGAAGCAGCAAGGAAGGAGCATAGTAATAGATTTCATGTTGGAGTGCAAGGTATGGTGGGGGAAGTAAAGGTGAGGGACTGTGGAGAAGTTGGCAGGGCTCAGATCATGAAGACATGTTAAGGAGGTTGGACTTTATCTTGTAGATCAGAAGTTCTATACCTAGTTAGTGTCCATGAACCTCTTGACACTGTAGACACAAGTTTGTGTGGTTGCTTTTCTTTCTGTAGAGGGGCATTTGTTTTCTGCCGCCAGTTATGGGAGCCAGTGGAAACCTTTCATCAGGAGTGGTTTGGTGAGAGTTTTGTGGGTATCTCCAGTCAGGTGGAGATGGATCAGAAGGCCCAAGCCAGGAAGCAGAAGACCAGTGAGGAGCTGTTACAGGAATCACAAGGAGAGATGTTCGGACTGGGATGTGGCAGTTAGGAGAAACAGGAAAGACCTGAGACATGTCTAGTTGAAGTGGTGGGGTTTACGTGACTAATTGGAAATCAGGACTGAAGATAAGCAAGGACACAAGGAGAGCTTCTGGACTGCTAGTTGGACACCTGGATAGATGGTGGCCCTATTCACAGGAATAGGAATGGAGGAGAAGCAGTTTGAGGTGATGGCTGGGGATACTAAAGCCCAGTATATGGCTGGACATGTGTCTCCAGAGCTCTTCAGAGCTGGAGCTGGAGATTGGAAAGTCATTAGCAAATAGATGGCACATAAAAAATGATTGATACATTTGAACTGAAGGCATGGGAGTGGGTAAGATCACTCAGGCAGAGTGTGGAGAGTGGGAAAAGACGCTGCCCAGGACTGAACCCCAAAGAGCACCAATTGTGAAGGAGTGGGCAGAGGAAAAAGAACTTGCAAAGGAGATGGAGGAGTGGGCAGGGAAGCATGATGGAAATAAGAGGTGGGGTCACAATGTGAAACCTAGGAGAAGAGATTTCGAGGAGCCAGTGATCAGTGTTTCAGTGTTCCAGAATGACCCAATAAAAGGAAGATAAAAAAGTGGCTGCCAACGTAGAACATGGAGATGTTTGGAAGCTTAGTGAAAGCAGTGTCACAAGAAAGGAAGCCTCATTGCATAAAGGGAGGAGAGTGTGGGAAATGAGAAAATGGGGGAAATGAAACAACCTTTTAGAAAGGGCTGTAGCTTCTGAATGTCCCTCTTCCCTCTGGTGACTACGTCCCATCTTCAGTCTTTGCTCTCACTTATCCACGGATTCTTCTCTCACTTACTCACTAAACTAAGGGGCTCTAGGGCGTTTCCTTCCTGATCTTAAGCATCATTTGAAACCCTGGCTCCCTTTGGACCCAGAGGCACCACCCCTCTTTGGTCCCTTGCCCTGCCTCTTTTTCTTTCTGAGCAGTTAAGGACACCTTTATCCAGCTGGTAGTTCAGGTCAGAAATGTGGGCATCATCCTTGACTTCTCCCAATCCTTCATCCTCTGCCTTCAAGCAGTCAGCAGGCCTGGCCTCTCTACCTCCTGAACCCCACCACAGACCTATCCACTTCTTGCCATGTTCATTGCTTACACTCATCCAAGTTACCATCAAAGCAGTGTCATCTCCTGGATGCCCATAAGTGCCTCCTCACTGTCCGATCTGCGTGATCTTTGCTTTCCAAAGGACTGCAATAGCTATCTTCACAAAATATAGGTCCTATTCTGGCACTCCTCCTTGAAGTGCTTTAGTAGTTTCCATTTGCCTTTAGGATAATGTCAGAATCTTCAATGCAGCTTACAAGTCCCTGTCTTGTTTCATACCCTCTGCCCCTAGCACTATGCTTCACACACATGCCCCCCCACCCCACCCCACCCCACCCCACCCTCAGACACTCTGAGCCCCACCTTGACTGTGGGTTCTAAGTCTTTCCACATTCTGCTCACTCTTCTAGAACGTCCTTCTCTCCTTTCTATATCCCCTTCTCTGGCCACCGTTGCCTAGCTAGCGCCTAGTCATTTAGATCTCAACTTCAATGTCACTTCCTAGGCAAAACACGGACTCCCTGACTCTCTGCCTGTGTTGCTTCTCTTATATTCCTCCTTGCTCTATGTACGTCTTCTTCACAACTCTTATCACACTTGTAATTACTTGTTCAACTCATGGACTATAAGCTCTCTGAAGCCAGAGACCGTTTCTTTTATTCACTGTGGTATCATCAGTGCTTCCACATTGTAGGTGTTCAATCTCTTATTGAATGGAGAGGGGAGTAGGGAAGTAGAGCTAAGGGAACAACATCATTCCCTTCTAGCAGAGTTGGGGGTGAGGAGAGAGAGAGACTTGAGCATATGTAGTACTGATGGAAAGCTCCAGGAGAGAGGAAAAGGTTGACAGTTCAGGAAAGGTTACCAAATACATGGTTATAGAGGCTGGAAGAAGCGAGTATTAATTCTGGATGAGAAGAAAATGAGAAAAGAATGCCCATATTTTTAAGCCTAGAAATAGGAAGAAGGGAGTTTGTGGGCATTCAGACCTAAAAAAAATAGGATGCAGAAAAATCTGCTGAGGGTAGGAAAGGATGGGATCTGCCAAGGAGAAGACTGGAGTGGCCCCAAAGAGTCCTGAGGCAGAGATCCATGTGGCCTAAGATGAGTGTGAGGCAGCACAAGGGCCTGCTGGGGGCTGAGCATGTCTGAATATCGATGTGGCCTTGTCCAGGTTATCTGGACTGCTGATCCCTCCTCTGTCATGACCTGTTTCCTTCTGTTTTCTCCCAGGTCAAGGAGTCTGAGCTGGAGCCAGGGCCCCAGTGGGACCTGACCCAAAGTCTGAGGTCAAGCTGGGCACAGAGCCTGGCCTGGAGCTGGAGCCCAAGGCACAGCTGGACTACCCTTGTCATGCAGAAGGAGCCGGGCATTGTGCCTTCCTGCCCTGGCATGAAGAGCCCCAGGCCCCGCCTCCTGCTACCATTGCTGCTGCTGCTGCTGGGAGCTGGGGTGCCAGGTGCCTGGGCTCAGGCTGGGAGCCTGGACTTGCAGATTGATGAGGAGCAGCCAGCAGGTACACTGATTGGGGACATCAGTGCGGGGCTTCCGGCAGGCACGGCAGCTCCTCTCATGTACTTCATCTCCGCCCAGGAGGGCAGCGGCGTGGGCACAGACCTGGCCATTGATGAACACAGTGGGGTTGTCCGTACAGCCCGTGTCTTGGACCGTGAGCAGCGGGACCGCTACCGCTTCACTGCAGTCACTCCTGATGGTGCCACCGTGGAAGTTACAGTGCGAGTGGCTGACATCAACGACCATGCTCCAGCCTTCCCACAGGCTCGGGCTGCCCTGCAGGTACCTGAGCATACAGCTTTTGGCACCTGCTACCCACTGGAGCCTGCTCGTGATGCAGATGCTGGGCATCTGGGAACCCAGGGCTATGCGCTATCTGGTGATGGGGCTGGAGAGACTTTCCGGCTGGAGACACGCCCCGGTCCAGATGGGGCCCCAGTGCCTGAGCTGGTAGTTACTGGGGAACTGGACCGAGAGAACCGCTCACACTATATGCTACAGCTGGAGGCCTATGATGGTGGTTCACCACCCCGGAGGGCCCAGACCCTGCTGGACGTGACACTGCTGGACATCAATGACCATGCTCCAGCTTTCAATCAGAGCCGCTATCATGCTGTGGTGTCTGAGAGCCTGGCCCCTGGCAGTCCTGTCTTGCAGGTGTTCGCATCTGATGCCGATGCTGGTGCCAATGGGGCTGTGACTTATGAGATCAATCGGAGGCAGAGCGAGGGTGACGGACCCTTCTCCATCGACGCGCACACGGGGCTGCTTCAGTTAGAGCGGCCACTGGACTTTGAGCAACGGCGGGTCCATGAACTGGTGGTGCAAGCACGAGATGGTGGGGCTCACCCTGAGTTGGGCTCAGCCTTTGTGACTGTGCATGTGCGAGATGCCAATGACAATCAGCCCTCCATGACTGTCATCTTTCTCAGTGCAGATGGCTCCCCCCAAGTGTCTGAGGCCGCCCCACCTGGACAGCTTGTTGCTCGCATCTCTGTGTCAGACCCAGATGATGGTGACTTTGCCCATGTCAATGTGTCCCTGGAAGGTGGAGAGGGCCACTTTGCCCTAAGCACCCAAGACAGCGTCATCTATCTGGTGTGTGTGGCTCGGCGGCTGGATCGGGAAGAGAGGGATGCCTATAACTTGAGGGTTACAGCCACAGACTCAGGCTCACCTCCACTGCGGGCCGAGGCTGCCTTTGTGCTGCACGTCACTGATGTCAACGACAACGCACCTGCCTTTGACCGCCAGTTCTACCAACCTGAGCCCCTGCCTGAGGTTGCGCTGCCTGGCAGCTTTGTAGTGCGGGTGACTGCTCGGGATCCTGACCAAGGCACCAATGGTCAGGTCACTTACAGCCTAGCCCCTGGCGCCCACACCCACTGGTTCTCCATTGACCCCACCTCAGGCATTATCACTACGGCTGCCTCACTGGACTATGAGTTGGAACCTCAGCCACAGCTGACTGTGGTGGCCACAGATGGTGGCCTGCCCCCTCTAGCCTCCTCTGCCACAGTTAACGTGGCCCTGCAAGATGTGAATGATAATGAGCCCCAATTCCAGAGGACTTTCTACAATGCCTCGCTGCCTGAGGGCACCCAGCCTGGAACTTGCTTCCTTCAGGTGGGTAGGCCTGGCACATAGCAAGATACAGTTGGGGGCATCTGAGAGCCACAGGGGACCTCAGAGCAGGAACCAAGTCTTACAAGGTCATCTACTGATGGTGACTTATGCTAGAGGGTTCTGCCCTATGTTGTAAGCTCCAAAATCTGTGCAGAGGGTGAGGGTTAATGAGAAGATGAGAAAGCAGAGTGCAAGAGCTGAGGGAGATGGTCTTGGCAGGTGAGGAAGTTAAGATTGAATCTAGTGGAGAAATGATTTGTGGTGTCAGGAAGTGAAAGTCTCAAAGCTGTTCTGCAGGGCAGAGATGGAGATTCTACATACCGATGTGGCTTCTGTTCCCCAAAGAAGACACCAGAATTTATGAGGCCCTCCATTTCTTGTCAAGTGCTGGGCTGTGCTGGAAGAAATCCTCATCCCTGCCCTCAGAGCTGAGCCTTAATAGGACACTTTGGATGAGACATGAGAATGAGAGATAGCAAGAATTATCTCGATATCCAGAGCAGGAAGTCCTCTCAGGGGAAGAGGCAGGAACCCCAGACAGGCTGAGAAGGACAGAGACTGGCTGCAAGTCAGGCCTGAAAAAGTGGAGGCAACATGAAATGGGAAAGGCACTCTGAGACCAGGCTGCAGAAGTCCCTGAACACCAAGCACTGAGGGGTTAGGACTACTTGGAAAGCAAAAGAGCTCACTGAACTTCTTTGGGTTTTTTTTTGTTTGTTTTTTTGTTTTTTGTTTTTTTTTAAAGATGGAGTCTCACTCTGTCGCCCAGGCTGCAGTGCAGTGGCGTAATCTCAGCTGACTGCAAGCTCCGCCTCCTGGGTTCGCGCCATTCTCCTGCCTCAGTGTCCTGAGTAGCTGGGACTATAGGAGCCTGCCACCACGCCCAGCTAATTTTTTATATTTTTAGTAGAGATGGGATTTCACCGTATTAGCCAGGATAGTCTTGATCTCCTGACCTCAAGGAGCTCACTGAATTTCTTTGAGCTGGGAAGGGAATGATCAGGTTTGGTTTTATTAAGTTAGCTATCTGGCTTTAAGGGTGATTGGATCAGCAGGTGTGTGACAGATCGTTCCTTCATTTGTATGTTCAAGATTTTATTTACATATTGTAAGCCTGGCACTGTGCTAAGCCCAGAGAACAAAGAAAAGAGACAGTCCTATTCCCAGGGTGGTCACAGTCTAGATAGGGAGACACATCAGTAACTAATGCTGCAGCAGGTGGCATATAAATGCTGTGGAAGCCCAGAGGAAGGGCCTTGAAGGACTAATGAAACTTTGCCAAATGGATAATATGAAGTGTGCAGACCAGAGACTCCAAGCCTAAGGAAAGAGCTGCTGAACAAATACCAGGACACGTTCAGGAGATTGTATTGTTCAGGCTGGCATCAGCTGTACTGATGAGAAAGAGTCAGGGGAGATGAGACAAGACAGTAGACAGGAGCCAGGTCACAAATTCAACTTTATCTTTAAAATCATAGGGAGCAAGTGAAGGACTCTAAGCAAATCTGATATGTCTTTTAGAAAGATTGCTTTGACTGCACTATGGAGTATGGCTGCAGGAGAGAGGATAGCGGGCAGGGAGTCCTCTTAGGAGGCTGGTGCTTGGTGTCCTTATGTCACCAAACTCCACCAGACTCCTGAACATCTCCACACAGCATAGACTTCCAGGCTAGCTCTGGGCCTGGCTGACCTCTTGTCCTCTGGCCAGACTGTGCATATTTGCTCGCCTGCTGCTGTGCAGCTCCACCACTCACTCTTCCATGTGTTTACTCTCCTTCTTGGCCAGGACCAATAGGCTATGGCTTCCAGACTTCTCTCCTCACTAGTGCCTGAAGCAAGAGGGCAACTCTCCAGGTAGTTTCCTGGAGTTTTTACTATTAGCAACCATAGAGAATGAGGGGTAAAAATGACCATTTGGGGTTTACAACTGTTACAAGAAGTCTTAATGTTTGATTTATTCAATATAAATGTATTGAATGTTTATCATGTGCCAGTCACTGTATTAGAGACATGGAATACAGTCATGAAAGCATCACTCCCCTCATCTTAAGGAGTTTATAGAGGGGAGATTCATGTGCAAAGAAATAGTTTCATTCCAATAAAAACATTTCCATTTGGGGATATATATGAGGTACAGATAGGCTGTATGAGTGCTTTCCCGAAAGAAGGGACCCTTGAGTTGAGACTTAAAGAATGAGCAATTTATGAGAGTATCAGATGGGGTAAGGCTTCCAAGCAGCGGTGAGGTGCACAGAGGTGTGGGAGGGCCCAGCTTGTTCAAGGGCCTACTAGGGGTTCAGGATATCTGGAGTTAAGATCGGAGATGGGAGGGTGGCGGATGAGAGTGCAGGGAGGCTCAGTCAAGTCAGAGGGTTTGAGCTTTTTTCTATAGGGAATATTGAAAATTTTGAGTAGAGGAGCAATATTACCAGATTTGTTTTTGCAAGTGGTAGTCAATGTAGAGCAGTGGTTTATAACCATGGGAGACTTTGCCCCCCAGAAGGGATATTAGCAATATCTAGAGAAATTTCTGATTGTCACAACTGGTGGTATACTATTGGCATCTAGTGGGTAGAGGCTGAGAATGCTGCTAACCATCCTGTAATGCACTTGACAGCTCCCATAATAAAGCATTATCTGGTCCAAAAGGTCAATAGTGCCAATGTTGAGAAACCGTGGTGTAGAGTACAGATCAGAGGGTCAGACCTCTATAAGAAGGCAGTCAAAATAATGCAGGGGAGCAATAACTCAGGACAACTCAGGCCTAAGTCAGAACGATGATAATGGTGATGGAGAGGAACAGATAAATAGAGTTAATGAGGACTTACTTAATCCCTGGTTGATTGATATACCAGGTGAGAAAAAGGGAAGAACTGATTTCTGGCTTTAGCAACTGTGTGGATGGAAGAATCATTAGAGCAGGTTTGGAATGATCATGAGTTTAGTTTTGGGCTGGTTGGATTTAGGGTGCCTGTGGGACATCCAAGTGGAGGTGCTGAGCAGCCATCTGGATGTACAAGTTTAGAAATCTCAGAGGAGTGGTCTAGAGTGAAAGTATAGACGATGGTTGAAGTAAAAGACAAGGCCCTGAGAGAGTGTGTGAAGTGAGAAGGGGCCAAGGAGCGATTCCAGGGAACAGTGTGTAAGAACAGGCAGATAAGGGGAGATGGAGGAAGACTGGCAGTGGTGGTGGGGGAAGCAGTGGGTGGAGAAGCAGGAAAAGTAGTGTCAAGAAGTCATAGCAGGAGAGATGGGCCTGGTGATGCATCCCTGTAATCCAAGCCACTCGAGAGGCTGAGGCAGGAGGATTACTTGAGCCCAGTAGTTCCAGACCTGCCTGGACAACATAGTGAGAGCCTGTCTTACAAAATAAATAAAGGCCAGGCACAGTGGTTCACGCCTGTAATCTCAGCACTTTGGGAGGCCAAGGTGGAAGGACTGGCTGAGGCCAGGAGTTTGAGACCAGCCTGGGAAACATACTGAAAACGGTCTATGCAAAAAATACAAAAACTAGCCAGGCATGGTGGTGCACACCTGTAGTCCTAGTTGTTCAGGAGGCTGAGGCAGGAGGATTGCTTGAGCCCAGGAGTTCAAAGTTGCAGTGAGCTAGGATCACACCACTGCACCCCAGACTGGGCAACAGAGAGCCTATCTCAAAAATAAAATTAAATAAATAATTTATGTTTTAAAAAGTCAAAGCAGGAGGTACACCTGGGAAGGAGGTTGGGATGGGCATATGGAGTAAGTTTGGAGGCTGGTAGGAAGTTTAGAGAGTTCACAGATAAATGTCTTTCTTTTCTCCTTGAAATAGTGCATCTGAAGAGAGCAAGGGATGGAATGGGGGCAAGAGGACAGGGATGAAGTTTATTATGGCTTTGGGGCAGAAGGGGAGAGGGAGCTGACCAAGGTCGGACTGAGATGCTGAGCTGAGAATCTGCTGAAAAAGGAGACTGTATTTGCAGTGAAACCTCTGAGCAGGGGTTGTACAGGCCAGGAAATTCACTTCTGCCTTGTTCATTTCCAGTCAGTGGCCCTTGTGCCTTTTGGGTCACTTCCTGACAACTTCCCCGGACCACTGTTTATTGCTTTCTTCCTGCAGCGAGTCAGAGGGCAAAGGTCATTAACAGCTTCTGGAGATGGTGCCGCAGCTGTACTACTGCCTGCCAGGATTGGTGCAGGGGAAGTCTGTCTCCTGGGATATCCAGGCCCACAGCCACAGTAGAGAGTTGGAGCAGAAGCTGTTTCCAGGGTTCAGCCATGGCAGGGTCTTGGTGTCTCTCAGGAGGGTAAACAATGCACAGGTCATTTCTGTCAAGGGTCTGGGCAACAATCAGAAGTCCTTGGCCAGCTTTCTCTCTAAGCACATTTTCTGGCTGAGAAAGGGGAACTCTCCAGCTTCCTGTTGCAGCGTATCATGACCCTGAGGTCCTTATATCCACAAAGAGCACTTTGTCACAGGCTACAGTTGTCAGTACCAGCTAACCCACTATTGAGGGCCTAATGTGTACCCAATGTATAAAACTTAGTGTGAAAGAAGGTTTTGTTACAAAGCAGGATGATCAGACTGTCGATTTACTCAGTGAAAAAAAATACGGGTAAAGCACCTACTGTGTACCTTGCACAGTACTAGCCAAAGAAGAGGGGACACCACTCACCCCAGCCTCTCCCTAGGTGACAGCCACAGATGCGGATAGTGGCCTATTTGGCCTCCTCTCCTATTCCTTGGGTGCTGGACTTGGGTCTTCCGGATCTCCCCCATTCCGCATTGATGCCCACAGCGGTGATGTGTGCACAACCCGGACCCTGGACCGTGACCAGGGGCCCTCAAGCTTTGACTTCACAGTGACAGCTGTGGATGGGGTGAGTCAGTAGACCATGGGTAGGTTGGGATGTTGGGGTAGGGCACTCACCGGGGCCAGACAAGGCTCACCTGACCTATGGCTGCATGTCCCACCAGGGAGGCCTCAAGTCCATGGTATATGTGAAGGTGTTTCTGTCAGACGAGAATGACAACCCTCCTCAGTTTTATCCACGGGAGTATGCTGCCAGTATAAGTGCCCAGAGTCCACCAGGCACAGCTGTGCTGAGGGTGCGTGCCCATGACCCTGACCAGGGGTCCCATGGGCGACTCTCCTACCATATCCTGGCTGGCAATAGCCCCCCACTTTTCGCATTGGATGAGCAATCAGGTGAGGATCCTCCCATTCCTGGGGCCTTCCCCCAGGTCTCCCTCCCCACCTGCCTAAATGATGTCCTACCCACCTCTTCCATAACCTTTCTGGCCCTATTAAGTTTCATTATATATCTCTGCTTCTATCTTTTCTCCCAGGGCTGTTGACAGTAGCCTGGCCCTTGGCCAGACGGGCCAACTCTGTGGTGCAGCTGGAGATCGGGGCTCAGGATGGAGGTGGCCTACAGGCAGAACCCAGTGCCCGAGTGAACATCAGCATTGTGCCTGGAACCCCCACACCACCCATATTTGAGCAACTACAGTATGTTTTTTCTGTGCCAGAGGATGTGGCACCAGGCACCAGTGTGGGCATAGTCCAGGCACACAACCCACCAGGTATCATTTAGCTTTATACCCACTTGGTGCCAGACCCAAATACCCCAATATAACCCTCCAGCACCATCTGAAGGTACCTTAGAGTATCACAGCGCAGATAGCCCCTGAGTATAAAACACTCTGGTACCAATGCCCAGCACCTCCTTAGGCACGGTGCAGGCACACTGCTTCATGAGGCACAGGAATGTTACCTCAGTGCCAACCAACCTCTTTGCCAACCCCTGCCCCTCCTCCTAATTTGAAAGGCATGGGTGTGGGCACTGCCCATTCCTTCTTGGGATCAGAGTCTGGGTCCTGACTCAATAAGGGACTTTTTCCTGATCCCATTTTCGTCCTCCCTAGGTCGCTTGGCACCTGTGACCCTTTCCCTATCAGGTGGGGATCCCCGAGGACTCTTCTCCCTAGATGCGATTTCGGGGCTGTTGCAAACACTTCGCCCTCTGGACCGGGAGCTACTGGGACCGGTACTGGAGCTGGAGGTGCGAGCAGGCAGTGGAGTCCCCCCAGCTTTCGCTGTAGCTCGGGTGCGTGTGCTGCTGGATGATGTGAATGACAACTCCCCTGCCTTTCCTGCACCTGAAGACACGGTATTGCTACCACCAAACACTGCCCCAGGGACTCCCATCTATACACTGCGGGCTCTTGACCCAGACTCAGGTGTTAACAGTCGAGTCACGTTTACCCTGCTTGCTGGGGGTGGTGGAGCCTTCACCGTGGACCCCACCACAGGCCATGTACGGCTTATGAGGCCTCTGGGGCCCTCAGGAGGGCCAGCCCATGAGCTGGAGCTGGAGGCCCGGGATGGGGGCTCCCCACCACGCACCAGCCACTTTCGACTGCGGGTGGTGGTACAGGATGTGGGAACCCGTGGGCTGGCTCCCCAATTCGACAGCCCTACCTACCGTGTGGACCTGCCCTCAGGCACCATCCCTGGAACTCAGGTCCTGCAAGTGCAGGCCCAAGCACCAGATGGGGGCCCTGTCACGTATCACCTTGCAGCAGAGGGAGCAAGTAGCCCCTTTGGCCTGGAGCCACAGAGTGGGTGGCTATGGGTGCGGGCAGCGCTGGACCGTGAGGCCCAGGAGTTGTACATACTGAAGGTAATGGCAGTGTCTGGGTCCAAAGCTGAGTTGGGGCAGCAGACAGGCACAGCCACCGTGAGGGTCAGCATCCTCAACCAGAATGAACACAGTCCCCGCTTGTCTGAGGATCCCACCTTCCTGGCTGTGGCTGAGAACCAGCCCCCAGGGACCAGCGTGGGCCGAGTCTTTGCCACTGACCGAGACTCGGGACCCAATGGACGTCTGACCTACAGCCTGCAACAGCTGTCTGAAGACAGCAAGGCCTTCCGCATCCACCCCCAGACTGGTGAGCACAGAGACCCAAATCCTGAGACCCCATAACCTTATCCCCAGCCTGGTGAACATCCAGACAGTATCCCCAACTCCCAGCTCCCATCTCACCCCTGAGAGTGAGGATTTAGCCCTGGCATTCCCTCTCCCACTCCCCAAAACCCAGCTTCTTAGGTGCAGGCCTCAGGCTCTGCATCCCTAAATATCTCATACATGATCCCCTTCTTGCACTCCCAGGAGAAGTGACCACACTCCAAACCCTGGACCGTGAGCAGCAGAGCACCTATCAGCTCCTGGTGCAGGTGCAGGATGGAGGGAGCCCATCCCACAGCACCACAGGCACTGTGCATGTTGCAGTGCTTGACCTCAACGACAACAGCCCCACCTTCCTGCAGGCTTCAGGAGCTGCTGCTGGCGGCCTCCCTATACAGGTATGTGAAGTGGCAGGACTTTGTCCTGAAAAGTGTGAGAGGGAGTGGGGATCTCCCCATAGAGCTGTAGACGTAGGTAAGAGACTGCCTCCTGGATCGGGTGTCGGAGCCCAAAAGAGGTTCTGCCTGCCCGCAGGTGAGGGAAGCTTTATCCTGAGTTGTCTGAAGAACAGGAAAGAGACAACTAGGTGAGTTGTGTTCCCACAGGTACCAGACCGCGTGCCTCCAGGAACACTGGTGACAACTCTGCAAGCGAAGGATCCAGATGAGGGGGAGAATGGGACCATCTTGTACACGCTAACTGGTATGGGAGTGGAGAGAAGAGAATTGATGGGTGATGGCATGCCTTCATGGCCTGCCCAGCTCTGGGCCCCAAGCCCTCATCTTACTCTGCCTGTCCCCAGGTCCTGGCTCAGAACTTTTCTCTCTGAACCCTCACTCAGGGGAGCTGCTCACTGCAGCTCCCCTGATCCGAGCAGAGCGGCCCCACTATGTGCTGACACTGAGTGCTCACGACCAAGGCAGCCCTCCTCGAAGTGCCAGCCTCCAGCTGCTGGTGCAGGTATGGCTGCCCTTCCCACAGTCTGCCCACCTCCCCTTGGCTACCGCTGTAGGTCCCCTTCAGTAGCTCCAGCTTCATGGGAGTCCTTGGGCTCCAGTAGTAGTCAGGTTACTCTGACCACTCTTTCCTACCACCTAGGAAGCCAGCCCAGATCCCCTTTTACACCGGCCCTCACAATTCTGTTCTCCCTCCCCGGTCCACAACAGGTGCTTCCCTCAGCTCGCTTGGCCGAGCCGCCCCCAGACCTCGCAGAGCGGGACCCAGCGGCACCAGTGCCTGTCGTGCTGACGGTGACAGCAGCTGAGGGGCTGCAGCCCGGCTCTCTGTTGGGCTCGGTGGCACCTCCAGAGCCCGCGGGTTTGGGCGCACTCACCTACACACTGGTGGGCGGTGCCGATCCCGAGGGCACCTTCGCGCTGGATGCGGCCTCAGGGCGCTTGTACCTGGCGCGGCCCCTGGACTTCGAA